GAGGACTATTCAGATCTTAGAAGACATGCTCCGAGCATGTGTCTTAGATTTGGGAGGTAGTTGGGAGTCATACTTATCATTAGTCGAGTTTGCATACAATAATAGCTTTCAGGCTACTATTGGCATGGCTCCTTATGAAACTCTCTATGGTAGAAGATATAGATACTCAGTTCATTAGGATGAAGTAGGAGAAAAACGAATTTTGGGTCCAGAGATTATTGCAAGGACAGTGCAAGCAATTGATAAAATTAGGGACATAATAAAGTTTGCTCAAGATAGACAGAAGAGCTATGCAGATCAATGGAAAAAAATCGATAGAATTTGAAGTCAGTGAAAAAGTGTTTCTAAAAGTGACACAAATAAAAGAAGCTCTTAGATTTGGCAAGAAGGGTAAGTTGAGACCTCGATTCATAGGTCCTTTCGAAATTCTAGACAGAATTGGGAATGTAGCGTACCGTCTAGTATTGTCACCTAGACTATTGGCAGTACATAATATATTCCGCATGTCGATGCTTAGAAAGTATGTGCATGATCCCCGAGCATGTGATGAGCTATAATTTATTGGAGGTACAGATAGATCTAATGTATGAAGAGCCTCATTTGGATTTATCGAAAGGAGAACACATGCGTTAAGGAATAAAGAAATTTCCTTTGTTAAGGTCCGATGGAAAAATCATGGAGTCGAAGAGACTATTTGGGAAAAAGAAGAAGAAATAAAAGCCAAGTATCCAAAGCTATTCAGCTAAATAAGATAATTTCGAGAACGAAATTATTTTAAGGGGGTAAGAATGTAATAGTCCGGATTTTAAATTTTAATGTCGCATGGGCTAAATCTAATGTTAGTCATCTAGCAAATAAATAGTCCATGTCAAGCCATGTTGTCACACTAAGGTCCCGAAAAGTTGAAGTGATAAACATGACTCGCTTATTTGCATAAATTATCCATTTTGTTCACGTGTAAAATTTATCGTGAGTTATTTTGGATTAAATATTTAAGTATTTCAAAAGTTGATAAAAATATATAGATATTATACTCATTTTGTAGCTAGTGCTAAGTAACATAAATTGGCTCAAGAAGAAATAATTTTAGACTAGTCATATTCGAGTTATCTTGATCGGAAGAAAGATATTCTAAATCCTATATTTTATATATATGTATAAAATAGTAAAATAAAAGATGGAGGCGTTGGAATTTGAAACATCAACCACTTTTTTTATAATTAATATAATCAATTGATCTTACCAATCGTGATTGGCACCATGTTTTGAAATAAAAATTACCTATCGAATTCTCAAGCCTAAAGTGGGGAGTGTAGCGGTTTGTATTTATAGTCAATAATAAGTGAATACTATGCATAAAAAGGTGTGAGAATTTTTTAATTTTTTAATTTTTTTGTTCTCTTTACATATACACGTGAAAACATACACACATATTGAAAAGGGGATATTATCTTGTTTCACATAACATTTTCAGATTTATTTAGTATTAAACCAAGGTAAGAAATGTGCAAGTGATTAATTCTTATTTCTTGATATTTTTATATTTTTTGGCATGAAATACTTTAAAGCATTCAGATCAATTTTTATATTAAATCCTATAGGATGGACCATTCGGTCTAGTATGTAAATCCTACAAGATATAGGAATTCTTATGAAATTCCTTGAATTATTGGATGTCGCAACCAGTTTGCTCTAAATTCAAGAAATATCGATACGTTAATAAGAATATGCACGTATTTCTTACTAAGTGTATTTTTTTTTTTTTAAATACTCACCCTTACAATAACATTTCAGATTAGAACGGGTCGTGTGGACGCGTGGCAGATTGACCGAATGATACTTATGGGGTCGCCAAGTAAAAGTTTTAGAAATGATTATTGCCAATTTCTATTTTAAGAATAATTTTATGTTTAATTCTATGCATGTTATTTTAATAGCTTTGACATTTAAGTTATTTAACATGTTAAATTGACAATTTAATTCGTAGTATTTTAAGCTAGATAAAATTTAAATTTTTATTTAGAATTTTTGAATTCACATTATTGATTTAGCGATCAAATACCAAAATTTATAAATTAGTATTAAATTCTGCTTAAATTATAAAAGAAAAACTTTGGTAACACTTCAAATCTTAAAAGGGCGAAAAAAAAAAAAAAAAGGGATAGTGGGTTTGGGGCGTTACAGTCTTTGTAGCCAAACTTGCGTAGTTGTTTTACTTAGTGAATTTGAAAGTCTGTTAATGTATTTGTTTGTCCAATCATGTTGCCTTCGAGTAACCAATCTATTGTCTTAGGGTAATTATATTACCACTACAATAATTACTAGGCACACCACAATTTTCTTATTTACTTAAATAACCACGAATAAAATGACATAATTATCCTATCTCTTATTCACCTAAATATTTATGGATAAATACATTACACTACAAATTTTATTAAGTGCAACACATTATTATATTTTACTAAAAATACCTTAGACACCTGCTCATAATATTTTATTTTCATAAATCAATCAAGCACTTTGGTGACAAAATGACCATTGGCAAACTGGAAAAACAACAAAGATATTACCATTGGCAGTGTGTCCAAAAGGTATCTCCACCCACAGATCTCACCTTCCAAAAATTTTGTATCAAGAACCATAATTCCATCTGAATACATTGTATGTCGTTCCCACGTCTCGCACCATTGTATACACTTCTATTCGAAGCTTTCTCCTTCGTCGGAAGTAGTCTCTAAAGTTGCCTTTCAAGGAGCGTCTTTGACAGAGACTAAGTTATCATTTTGGCAATGAATGGTGCAGATCTAACCAGATAGGAGATAAAGGGTAGAGGAAAAAGATGATTAATAATGGGAGGATGTGTACACCACATTTTATTTTTAATTTTTAGTTTTTATGGTATTAGGAGTATAATTGTAAAATTATTATGGTGTATTTATTCAAATTATATTTTAAATTGATATGATTATAATGTGGTGTAGTAATTAAATTTTGTAGTGGTAATATAATTAGCCATTTGTCTTAATCAATAATTCTTGAATTTGTCATATTATTCCATTAATTACCCAATACAATGTATTGGACGGTGTGCCTAATAAACATGTAAGAATCTTGAGATGGGTTTATTTATTTATTTATTTTTAATTTAATCAAACATCATAATTTAATTATAATAAACTCGTATTACTAATAATCAATAATTGGGATTTACAAAGTATCTCTCTGAACTAATAATTAATTAAATAATTGATCGATCTCAATATGTGTTATACACTATATGCTTTTATAATCAAATAATCCTTTTAACATACTAGGAAAATTAATACAAACAAAAGTCTAATACAAAGTGAAGTCATATTACAATAGAGGTGTATTTATTCAAATTATATTTTAAATTGATATGATTATAATGTGGTGTAGTAATTAAATTTTGTAGTGGTAATATAATTAGTCATCGTCTTAATCAATATTTCTTGAATTTGTCATATTATTCCATTAATTACCCAATACAATGTATTGGACGGTGTGCCTAATAAACATGTAAGAATCTTGAGATGGGTTTATTTATTTATTTATTTTGAATTTACTCAAACCTCATAATTTAATTATAATAAACTCGTATTACTAATAATCAATAATTGGGATTTACAAAGTATCTCTCTGAACTAATAATTAATTGAATAATTGGTCGATCTCAGTATGTGTTATACACTATATGCTTTTATAATCAAATAATCCTTTTAACATACTAGGAAAATTAATACAAACAAAAGTCTAATACAAAGTGAAGTCATATTACAATAGGTAAAGTGCCCCCAGGGCATATCTCCCAGTGGCAAAGGGGAGGGCGGATAGGGCTCAGCGCGGCAGTGTGCAGAGTTCGATTCCCCGTAAGGTGGAATTGACTTTGTTGCAAGCGGGAGTTACCATATGGGTTAACAGCCTTGGCCTATCCATGTGTTCTCCACCCTGGCTCCTGGGAGGCACATCCTGCGATTTACCTCCTCCACGATGACCCAGGGCAGGGTCGGTGGGGGCCCCTAAGGTTGGGGTTCAACCTTTTTTTTTTTTTTTTACAATAGGTAAAGCTAATAATGAAGGATTTGAGTTGAAATAAGAGCCCAAAAACTGTCCAATACATATGTTTGACTTTTTCAAGACATACTACCGACTCTCAATAGAATTTTCAATGGAATTTGAGTTACATTCAAATTCTAACAAATTTGGTCCACAAAGATCCTTTGTAATCGTCCATTATTGAATTATAGTGGATAGTCCACCTCTATCCTGAGTTTTCTCGAATTTTTACGTCAACTTTATGTCCTGGTAGTGGTTTAGGTGTTGTATTATCTTTGCTTTATTTAATGAACAAGTGATATCCAAGCTATCACTAATTTTCTGACACACTAATATATGTTATCAAGAAATATGGCATGTATGAATACTGAACTAGATGACAAGAATTACTATCCCAAGAGTTGAGACCATAATCATATTTTCGAGTCATGATCGCACTCAAATCTTTCAATCCGTGTAAAGGCTTGTTTAGTACTATTTGAAAAAAATAATAATAAATAAAAAATATCGAGGATAACTCTAACTAAGTGGTTGTTAAGTTTTCGATAAACATTTTCGTAGGCGAGTTCATGAAATGTTTTGCTAAAATTAAAATTTTGCCAGTTCAAACATAGATAAAATTTTATAAAAACAAGCACGAAGTTTTAGTATTTCAATTCAGTATGCTTGTTATGTACCTGATTACTTATGTAAAACAAGGTTTAACCCTAGCAATTTAGTCTTTACATAAATTACGTATAAGATGAGCAGTTCTACCGACAATTCGTGCAACGCACGATTCCTCACTAGTAATAACATATATAAAGTTACGCTCCATTCTTTTATACAAGATTACAGGTGAAGATTGGCGAATGCATTCTCCTTAAATGCTAGATTATGAGAAAATATAAGCATCCATGTCCTCCACAAATTTACTAAAATATAAAATGGTGTATTTTATTAATAAAATAACTTTTCACGAATACTATATTTGTTGGCACAGGTGAAATCGATTTATTGTCCTAATCACAGTAATAAAAGTAAATCAATAAGCAACTTTACTATGAGAATCCAGAATAAAGTTAAGAATTTTTTCCAATAATTCTTACTTCCCATTCTTGGTCCATCTTGAGTTTAGGGGTGGAATACTTTGCTCATTTCTGAAAAAATTAGATGGATCGACCTTGGTTTTCACTTGAACAAGCCTATTGAAATTATTCTTAAAATATTTGAGTCCCCAAATGCTTGCTCGTGCATAGCTAGTATTGTCCTTGTCATTAACACCTAGATCTAGATCTTTGTAATTGACGTATGCTGCTCTCGGAAATTTTGAAACATAAGGAGCCATGTAACTGTAAAGTCTTCGAATCCAATTCAAATACCTATCCGATGCCTCTTCGTCATCCCAATTCACAATGTAAAAGATTTTGTACAAATTACCAGCTCTGTGTGGAAAGGGAGTGGCAGATTCTGAAACTTCATCCATTCTTCCGCCATATGGAATCAACACCATACTAGCATCCCCGGAATCGTTGTCCAAAAATCGTTTCCAAATGCTTTCAAGCCCATTCTTAGAAATTGGTTTCTGAACATAGTCTGATTTAGCTTTATAGTGTCGTAGATTTGCCTCAGTTCTATTCAACAAAAAATCAGGTGATCCTATGGGAAGATTGTAGCTGTATAAGGATGATTCTATCCAGCTCATTTCCGTGCAATCTTCTCTTTGCAAACCCAACTCAGGGAAGCTTTGCTGCATCAGTGGAAGCAATCTGTCGACTCCACCAAGAAACAATGAATGAAATGAGGCCTGAACAGTTTGTTTGCCATCTTGGCTTGAATTGACCCTTCCTATATAGACTCTAACGGTCAAGTCTTCATCGAATTTGTGTGCGATGTACTGCCATCGGTGAACAATATTTGCTGCATTCTGCTCTAAAGTCCTGGCAACTGTGAATACTGTGACTTTTTCTGGAACCTCCACCAACTGTAGTTTCCAAGCGAGAATGATTCCAAAACTGGCACCTCCGCCTCCTCTTAGAGCCCAGAAGAGATCTTCGCCCATGGATTTTCTGTCGAGAATTCTTCCATTCACGTCAATGATGCGTGCATCAATTACATGATCAGCAGCTAGCCCATACTTTCTAATCAAAGTTCCATACCCTCCTCCACTGATATGTCCTCCAGTGCCAACGGTTGGGCAAGTACCACCAGGAAACCCCAAGGTTCGACTTTTCTCTGCAATTCTATAATAAAGTTCGCCGAGTCTTGCACCAGCCTGAACCCATGCGTTTTTCTGCTCAACGTTAACGTTTATTTCCCGTAGGTTGACAAGATCAACGACGACAAATGGGACTTCCGATGTGTAAGAAAGGCCTTCAAAGTCATGGCCACCACTTCGAACCCGTATTTGCATTCCATTTTCTTTGGCGCAATAAATGACAGGTTGAATCTGAGATTCATGCACAGGGGTAACAATGACTAATGGTTTTGGTGTTGTTTCTGAAGCGAAACGAAGATTTTGTATGGAGAAATCGAGGATGGATGAATATGAACTATTTTTTGGTGTGTAAATGATATTGGAGATTGAGTTGAGATTGTTGGATTGAAGGTACATACATTGAAGAAAATTATCATGTCCATTAGACGAAACTGTCCATGAACACAAAAAGAGGACGTCAAAAGCAAAAAGAACCAAACAAATACTTGGAATCTTCATCTCTTTGTTAAGGCTGAATAATTTGTGTATTGCAGAGCATAAAAAATGGTCTATTTTATAGTTCAGGAAGAGAGTGTGAACCCATGTGTGTATCAATAATGCTGTCTGTACAGGCTTACACACTTGGATGATAAAATGAGGTGGACGGCTAAGATGGTTGGGAAATGGACGGTGGTGATTGTTTATCAATAATGGTAAATGGAGGCCAAAATGGAAACAACAACAAGCCCACGTGATTGATGATGTACAAAGAAAAGACTAAATCGATTTCCTCTTCTCTGTTACTCAAGCCCCATTTGTTCCCATTAATTTTTATTTCATTACATTTTATTTTTCTTTCTCTTGAATTATGATTTCATACTTATTCGTCCATATTGACAACTAAATTTAGCCTTGTTTGCCCCCATTAAATCTCATCAAAATAAGAAGGCGTTTGATACCCTTTTTATGAAAAAATGAATTTTAGAATAGTAGATTGATGAAAAATATGTAAATGAAAAATAAGGAAAAAAAATTTATTTACGTATAATATTATTTTAATGAAAAATGTGTGATTAAAAGAAGAGAAAAAATATATTTTTATGAAAATGAGAATCAAGCGGGGTTTTCTCTCTTCTATTTTCAATCACACAATATTCAATAAAATAATATTATACGTAATTCGAAAATTTTTCATTCCTTTACAACCACAAGAATTTAGTTATATTTTAATGAATAAAGTCTCTTGTACATCGAACCTCACAACTCGGTGTACGCTCCCCTCATATAAGGGGAGAAGTCCACGCCTAATTAATGCTCGCCACGCCCCCACGTGAGGGGCTGTATATTTGATATTTTAATAGCGTTTTTAATTTGTATATCTTGGCTTCCATTCTCTCTCTCTCTCTCTCTCTCTCTCTCTCTCTCTCTCATGACCGTTTTCTATTTCGGCCGGGAGGATTCATTTGTATATAGTTCACATACCTTTCTTTTCTAATGGGACAACTTTTTGACGAGTCTTTAAGGGAAAATTACATTAATCCATGTTTTGTACATGTTCTTTAAAATTTATTTTCTTTCATATATTCTTTTATTTTATACTGAATTTATAATTTTTATTTCTTAATTACATTCAAAAAAAAAAAACTTTTCCAGAAATTTATTATTAAAATATATTCATCCAACTGGTCCTGACTATTTTCACTCAATCGATAAAAAGACAAGTTACGCAAGTCTTGAAAAATGAGAAAGGCAGGTAAAAGTTAAATTATTTTCGCCCCTGTTTTATCCCCATTACCTGAAAATGAAAATGGGGGAATAGTATTTTTTAAAAAAATAGTGGTTGAAAAAGAAGGAAAAGTTTTCGATTTACGTATAATATTATTTTATGAAAGATTGTGTGATTGAAAATAGAAGAGAGAAAAATGAAATATAATGTAATTTAATTTAATGAGGATCAAATATGGGGCTTAGTTATTTAGAAACTCTCTCTCTCTCTCTCTCTCTCTGTGAAATAGCAACAAAGTCTACGTGCAATTTTTACGGTGTTATTCTGCTCAGATCTGAAATTCAAATTAAGCCCCCGTTACGGACCTGTCCAAGGCCCCTGTCGATGTAGAATGGTTCATTTTTACGCCTTAACCTGGACTTGGGGGTCGTGGTGGGATGGCAGGGTTACCCGAAGTCCTTTTTTTTTTTTTTTTTTAACATCTGCGTGAAAATGTCTTAAAACAATGTTGGAATATACAATATACAGAAAGAAACTAAGGATCAATCATCAATGACAAGACATATCAATTAATCAACGTTAGAAAACTTGGCCAAGGCATCAACCCGAAAAAGGGAAAGGTTCAAGTATCAAAATGTTTAATCGAAGTTGAATCGGGGTCAAACCGGAGCTAATAAATAAGTATTTATAAACATTTCAATTTTATTTTCAGGACAATATATAATTAAATTTTTAGTCAATCAATTCAAAATAAGTACAAATATGTCAAATGTATATTTTTAATATAAATTCTAATAGTTTTAATTTGTTAGACCACTTGAAAACTCATTTCAATTTTACTATATATATATATATATAGGAATTGAGTAATTTAATTTTTAGGTCATACACCATGCGGTCATAAATAATATTGAAAAAGTGTGCTTTAAGTTTTCCAATCCCACATTAAAAGTGTGTTTTATTGAATTTTGTGAGTCCCACATTAGAAATTTATCAATTATGGGGCTCAATCCATAGGTAGAAAAGTGAGTAAATGGGTTTCTATCTCTAAGGTAACCTTTTTATCATGTAATAATAATTTTTTTTTCAAAAAATATTTTGGAAACCGGTCCAAAAATTGCGAACGATTCCCGATTTTCGATTTAATTGACTAATTTTTTTAGTTGTTTGGCCTGTTATTAATTAATCAATTAATTTAGTATAACTAGACCGAATTTTGGTCTAATTCCCCAGTTTATAGGTTGAATCGAGCGGTCTGATCCAATTTTATAAATATTGCAATTAATTTCTGTATAATTTAATTCACTAGGACTACCATGTACTTATTTACTATTTAAATGATGTGTCATAGCTTAATACTAAGTACATCATTTCCATATATAAATATTCCCTTAATTAATATGCTACCCTTAATTTTTTAGATTAATATGTTTGTTGAGTTTTCTTTATTGAAGAATCATAATATTCACTAAAATAGACTCTGGGGCACCGCTAAAAGAGAAGCAACAGAAGCCCTGACTAACCCTCACATTTTGGAATGGGGTCCACTTCTTCCTTCCAATTATTTATTCATGCGGGCCTCGGCATTGTGAGTATCTGTCAAATCCCATGTCAAAAATATTTAAATACTTTAGCATTTTCCGTTATGTATATGTGTTGACGTCATTTAAAAATATCTTCTTGTTGACACTTAAAATTTTAATTCTTCTTGAATTTATGTAGCCTCCTGCATAAACAAAGATTGTGAAAGCGTGAAATTGATCCCTTGGTTGTTATCCATTATTTGGAAAGTTAAAGATTTTGGGATAATATTTTTTGGAGAATGTGTGATTAAAAAGTAAAGAAATTTTATTGATTCGTGTGTGAATATATAGTGAAGAATAATACTATAACAAAAATATAATTTAAAACTTTAAAGAATAACAAATAGGGCTCATTAACCATATTAACCACATTAATATTTGCTTCTGGAACAAGCTAAAGCAAAATATGTTTCTTTGACCAGACTTGTCGGCAGCATATTTTTTACTGTCCTTGAAAATCGAAACTTTGACCACATGTTTCCACAGCATATTAAACATAAATTTATTAATGATTTTTTGAAATAATTATTTATGCTGCGTCATTGTAAATGAAATACAAGTTGACAATTAGCTCCCGTTTGGCTCTCATTTTTTGAAAATGAAAATGAGTTAAATAAATTTTTTTTTAAATGAATGGTTAAAAAAGAAGAGAAAATTTTTGATTTACATGTAATATTATTTTATAAAAGATTGTGTGATTAAAAATATGAGAGAGAAAAATAGAATGTAATAAAAGGTAATTTAATGAATATCAAATAGGACTTAGTATCCAAATGAATTGTTAGCTAATAATATGGAAGAAAATCAACCTATTCGGCTCAAAAATTCCCAAGATGTCCAATTTAATAGATTTTTTTCTTACACTGTTTCATTGGAAAAAAAATATGTGAAATTGACTAACACTTTCTAATGTAGCCCCTATTTGATAGAGATTGATATTCAAATTTTAGGGTCCGTTTGATTGTAAGAATGAAATTAAGGTGGAAAGAAAATGAATTTCTAGGAATTGAATTACCTAGAACTTGTTTTATTGGGAATTGTCAATTAAATATGTTTGATTAGTATAATTTTTCACCGAAAAATATTGAAATTTTGAATTTTTTGGTATTCGTTTAACTTTGTTTTCATGTAAATTGTCAATTAAATGGATAGATTTTTTTACAATTATCCTTAGAATTGTTTCCATTGCAAAAAAATAATAATAATAATAAATAAATAAGAACTTGTAAAAACCAATTCCCAACAAAACTATGGGAATTGATTTTCCACCAATTCATGGAATTTGAGATCACATGGAGTGAAAGAGAGAAATTGAGTTCCATTGAAAACTCTCCCAATCAAGCAACAAAAAATGTGGAAAACTCTCAAAAAATTTCCTAGTTCCATGGGAAATATTTCATATCAAACATGGCTTTAATGTAAATCAAAGTCAACAATTAACCCCTGTTTTATAGCCATTTTATTTAAAAACAATGTGTTGAATATTGATTTTTAGGAGAATTTGTGGTTAAAATGTAGCGAAAAATTTTTAATTTATGTATAAAATATTTTATTGTGTGATCGTGTGATTGAAAATGAGTATATATATAAAAGCTTTCAATTAATGATTGTCAAATAAGAAATTAATTTCAAATACATATTTTAAAATCTTCTAAAATTTTGATTTTATTCCTCAACAAACAAGTGCTTAATATTGATGCGAAATTTTTAAAAGGGGATGAAACGTGGATAATGGAAGTGTAAGATAATGGAGAGTAAATTTGGAAAATGTGAAAAATGAGTAAATGTTTCAGTGGAGGGAATTTTGATTAAGAAGAAAAAGAATACTCATTTACTTATTTATTTGATTAAATTAATTAGGAATTTACTTTGATTCAGATATGGTTAAAAACATTAGTTATCAAACGAAATAAAGCTAAATGTAGATGGATACCCTGATCGAACTTCTTCACTGAGTTATTAGTGGTCGTGGAGCTTGCTTTTCCATGAATTCAACTTATCCAGATAAAAAAGAAATAAATTAAAAAAAAAGAATAATCAAGTTTGATGATTGTACATCTGAAGATTCAAGTAATGCAACCAAAAATTATTTTTTTCTGTTTTTGACCCTTCATCTTGCGTTCCTTTGGATTTGCAAATTAGATACATGCCATGATTTTATTAGTTTTGGTGTCACTTCATGTTGAGAATTATAAAATATAATTTTATTCATTGAAAGCAATCAATTTAAAGAAAGAAAAATAAACATTCAAGAACACATAAG